CGAGAGATCGTCTACACCCCGCACTCAAATAAGGTCGAAGACAATGAACTTCGTTACCTTCGAGCTACGTGAGCGAGACAAGACAAACGCGGAGAACCACTTACTACTGTTCGTGATCGAAAAAGTAACAATAATTGGAAATATCCCTCGTCCTCGTTTCGTGCACGATATTCCGAGAGACACGCAAAAGGCAGAAAATGCCGAATTAATATTACAGGCGCCAACACCTCGACATTTTCACTTTATTACTTTTATTTTTGGAATCATTCTAATATCGCTAATAGGTTTTGCTTTAGATACATATTATATAATAGGTATATATATATATATATATATATATACATATATACATACACAAGAGATACGAATCATTGATAAAAGGGAGATAAAAGAGAGAGAGAGAGAGAGAGAGAGAGAGAGAACAAGAAAGAACTTGGCAAAGACTTAACACTTTAGAATCTGTATTTTCTGAATTTTTCGCTCTATATTAATCTGCCATGCAATATAATTATATATTTTAGCAACTCTACAGATTTCTCTCTTTATTATGATATAATTTCGAGAGAATTTTTTTAATCTTGAGATTTAGTATTAGCATCTACGTACGTGCTGACAGTGTTAATTGGATTAATTCGCGCGGCATCTATTTACATAAGAAAACGTGATTAAATGCATTTTACATGTCATACCTAATAACGCAACAGATTAAAAAACTAATAAGAGTTCCGTTCTGTAAGTTTTTTCATAAAACTTGAAGAATCGGGCAAAGCTGGGCAAAGCACAATAAACCAACAAGAAGAAACAAAGTGAAAGCAATGAAAAGGAAACAAGACGCGAGAAAGAAATCGTGTATGCCATACGGTTTCGTTTATTTTTCTTCTGCAAATAAAATCTGGAAAATAAAAATATTTTATCTTGCAGCAGGATATTAAACATCGAAAAAGCTCAAGTATCATCTCATGGTAAACGCACTTGCGTACATTATTGAAAAACCTCTCCTCTATACGAAGGAAAATGTACAATATGCAATATGTAATTATTAATCTCGTGGTTGTGAGTTTCCCCGAAAAATAAGCGATTCTCCGAACGACGACGAAATTATTCTTCTCGAAATCACGTTTCCTCATTTGATTTTTTTATTATAGAGAGTCATGGGTATATATTAAATTTTACAAAATCGCAAACAATGCTTCTAAGTAAGAGAGCAAACAAACGTTTTAGAACTACACGTCTATTTATTTATGGTAGCTTTCATTTTTGTTGTACACACATATTCGACAGTTTCGTGTTGCAATGTATAGTGCAACATTTATTGTCACATACATTAGATATTAAAAGAGCAATAGTAACTCAATTTCTTAAGTTAAACAACATTTTGTTATTTTTAACTTTCATGTGTGTCAAAATATAAATTAATCCATTTCTGATTAGTTTCAACATAAACAACATATTACGCTTAACACACACTTAGTAAATAACAAACAAAATTTAAATCAAATTGAATAAATTTTTTAAGTAAAATTGTTTAACTCCATTATTTTAATTAAATTAATGACATATTGTAAAAGGAGCAGTGGCGATCTACAGAAATAATTAAAAATAATTCAAACTGGATATAATTCGATATTACAAATTTAACAGTGCATTTTTATGTAATGATATCGCGTTCGTTATGTTATGTGAAGATTATGTTATAATTAATTAAAAAATAATTATATTAATTCCTATTAATTATAAAATAATTAAAATATAATTTTTTTCCATACAAAGTTTTCAATTAGTATCATAAACATTGTACCGAGAATCGAAATCAACGCTATTTTCACCCATGCAATTTCACGAGAATTAGTACTCCTTTAATCTTTCAAAAGCGATTCGAAAACGAACGATCGTAATTAATTGTCGAATATACATGTACCACATCAATGAAACGATGCGCGTGCACAATAATGAAACTCATCGATCAGTTAAACCAGTAACAAATTCGCATTGTTATGGCTTAGTGCTAAAACATTGAGGGCTTCACTCGAAATTATCTGTCGAACTAAGCCTATTATCGAATTAACTGTATCAAATCTCATGGAATACATTCGATGGTACAATTTAGAGAGATGCGTCGGATGATGTTTGTTGTTTTACGTGTCCGTAGAATATACAACGTTTCAAAATATGTCATGGAATGCATTTAATTGTACGATTTCGAAAGATACGTGGATTATATTTGTCATTTTGCATGTCCGAAAAAGATTTTAAAATGTCATTACTATAATAAACTACTATGATAACACACACATGGCTAAACTCATTTATATGTGAATCGTAATTCACAGAAATATAGCAGGGAAAAGTTGTATTTAGACATATGCTATGTTATTATTTTTCAATTGGTTTTTCTATTTTTTTAAATAATTTACTTTTAATAATTGATTAATCTTAATTTTATTCTTTTTCTTATTCACGTTTATTACGCAATTCCGTAATTCCACGTGTTCAACAAAGTTATTCTTATCTTTATTACTTTTGCATATTTATTTAAGTTGATTAAGGCACTTAATTAATACGATTAAATTTTCATCACGTCTAACTATTCGATCCTCTTAAAGATATTTTCTTGCAAACATCTATTATGAGAAACTCATCGTATCACGATCGCGCGGAATTTATAATCATGACATATTTATCAAGAAATAGCATAAAATATCACTTCCTTATTTCAGTGCCACACGGTAACAGGATAAAAAAGTAATTTTTTAATTATTATAATTTATGTTAAGTAAACATTATCCTATTGAACTAACTTAATTTTATAAAAAAATCTTCCAAATTGCCAGAATTCCAAAAAGGTGATTTAAAAAAAATTGTCAAAGTCACAACTCAAAACGAATGACTTTTAAGGATTGTGAAAATGACAAAAATAACATTTATTAAGAATATATTCTTTCTGCGGCAATTATTTGATTAAAATTAATAATTTTTTATCAAGTTACCAAAATAGTTCTTCCTCTTTTCTAGAAAATTTAATTTTGTGAAGTTGTATTGCTTTTAAAGTAAGAGAACGTATGCGTTGTGCGAGACCTATTTAGGATAAACCTATAGTATCGCGATCGTTTGGTCCAAGCAGACAAGACTGCTACAATCAGTGGATTATATGCGTCAACCTTGACTGTCCAGCTATTATAAAGTGTAATAATCATTCGTACCATACGTTTACAAATACGTAATTAAAACGACAAGTTGTCGCTAATTATGTTTTCTTAAACAGGTTACGTGATTCGGATTGCATGACAACGAATAGTTTTTTCCTCATTTACATTCTTGTTCTTTTCTATTTTTCCGTGTTTTCTGTATATCCTGCAGACATAATTACATTTTAAACGTGTGTTCGTCGAGACTGTACCTACATAATTCATATTTCTGTTTTACTTTACAATTGATATTGATGCTATTTGTATTATTTTTTTTATTTTAAATTCTTGAAATTCATGTATTTTATTTGTACAATTTATAAAGTTATTTATATAAAGGTTTAAAATTAAATAAAATATATATAACACAATAGTAAAATTTAATTTTAATCTTTATAAGGTTTCAAAATTATGTAACATTAACGCGTTTATAATAAAAATTGTATAATTGAATAGGAATTATATATCTTTTAACTTTTATCTTTTAACCTATATATATGACTATATATAATTAAAGTAACTGTTATTAAAATTCTCTCTTTTTCTCTCTCTTTATCTCTCTCTCTCTCTCCCCCTCTCTCTCAGAATCGTTATCAACGTTAAAAAATTGTCTGTTACATTTCAGCACATACCGTATCGCACTTTTCTTCTTTAGCAAACTTTATGCTCAATATGTCATGACGCCTACTACACATTTTATATACTCGCCGATTTTCGTTGCACCGCTTCAATCGACTTCCGGGTGGGCGCAATACAGAGCCCGGTTCTGACCCGAATCGTCGATTGTTGTTCGGCCGCGAGCAATAAATTCGCGAGTGTGTAGAGGCGAAACGGGGACTGTCTCCTCGACCTAGTTCGAAGCAGCGCCGATTACACGCACGGGTTTTATAAGCGTTTCGCGTCGGGAGGCGCACTTTTCCGAGCGCGTATTTTTTTTTTTGTAACGATGCGAACGAGGAGACGACACGTCGACTTATGCCGAATTAGCAACGTTATCTTTTTTTAAGCCACCGTTGCTTAACAGCTTCGATAGGTAGAGGAACGTGAAGCACGCGATTGGATATGTAAGAACAATTAGACCTTCCCATTTACATGATAAAAATTACAAAGTAACCAGCAAATTATCACAATTTTAAGTATTATTGCAGTTCACCTTGGAAATATTATTCTATACTTCTTTTAAGATATTTTTACTACGTTTAATGTACAATACTGTTATAATTACGTAGAATTATTAAACAGTAAAATTGAGAATATGGTCTACTTTGAAATATACTCTCAAGAAGCGATTAATTGTATTCTAATTACTGTATTACTTTGCTTTTCTCTTGAGTTATCATTACAAAGTAATCAACAAATTTTCATCTTTTTAAGCATTATTGCAGTTCACCTTGGAGATATCTGTGTATTATTCTACACAGTTCTTTTAAGATATTTTTACTACGTTTAATGTACAATACTATAATAAATTATAGTTATCATTAAACAGAAAAAATAAGAATATATGGTCCGTATTGAAATATACTCTCAAGCGATTTGTATCCTAATTGTATTACTTTGCTTTTCCCTTGAATTATTAAGTTCGTTCATATAAGACAACGAATATCCGGATCTATTTTCTGTTGACGTATGTTTGAAATTAAGATGTGCAATTGATATATCTTCTAATTAAAATGACTGTGTCTTATTTTTGTTCATCTTCATACAAATTTTAGAACGGTCTTTCAAAGATCCGAATAATTGAAGCCTTTCTTCGCATTCGTCTTGCACGTAAAGCTTTAATGCGATTATTATTAAATACTGCGGATTACTTACACGCGCTTGTAGATATCGGTACCAGATGTTCCAACTGCGTACCATTCAGCTGCTGGTCTGTAAACAGAAAAAATAAATACACCGTTAATTAATTACTTACGGAGAAACATAGCATCTCTAATAAAAGCTACTAACAATAATAATTCCTGCCTTTATTTCCTAAAAAAAAGGAAAATTTTTGGATTTATTACCGTTTATTAATATTTCATCAATATTTATTATATAACATTATTATTCATTAGTTTTAGAAATTCACAATAATAGAAATTAATTATTGAGAGTATAGGCATTATTTTTAATGAAAACATTCAATAGCATTCGAGATACGTTAATTTGTAATTATAATTTTCTGCTCCGACAGAGCTTTCCACACATGTACATATATTTTATTATAATTATTGAATACTTATTATTATTATTATCAATGACATAATAATGTCTTATAACTATATTTGTCAATGATGCGATATTACGTCAAGTTTCTTTAAAACGCCACGCGTTTAGTAAACAATTAATCCAACTTCAATCTTTATATTTAGAAATCAATGTAATTCCATTAATTTTCATGTCGGAAGAGAGTCACAATGTGATTAATAAATTCAACGTTTCCTTTGTTAATGATCTGACATACCCCAACGTGGGGAATAAAATTCTTTTTCAAGACGATAAATAAATAATTTCATCCGATGAGTAAATAGAAAAAAAATATATCTTTTCTGTCAAATGTTTATTTTCGGACATAATTTAAAATTTTAATAAACTAAGATAACTAAATAATCCTATTGAAATATTCGTGTTTAAGCTGCCACTGGTGTGGTACAAGTTTTATTTCCTCTTCCTAAATTAATTATAAGTTTCTCCGATTTACGTCTATTTTTATTAAATTTAAGATAATACGACTAACATTTAAGTTAGTACGTTATCAATTTAACTCACTTCGCTAAAAATACTGTCTTCTGATATATCTTTCTATATCCCCTGATAAAAGACTAACACGAGAGTCTGTGAAATATATGTCGAGTCGATGACAACTTTCGGCTCGCCTTGACACTTTTCAAGAAAACATGGAACGGATACAACTTTATTTTGACGTTTTTCTTGTAACTCAGACGTTAAACTCAAATAAAAACACGTGTGTTGACGTTTTCACATTTAAAAAATTTAATTTGATAAATTATTTCCACATATGTATATTTCCGTGTATTTTCCCAAGCGAAATAATTTTGGTATCCTTTCGTAAAACCATATTTTATATTTATATTTCTATTATTACTCTATAAAAGAATGTAAGCTATTATTTCTAATAAATATATAAATATATAATATAGAATTGTTCATTCAATACATAATTAATTTAATTTGATTTATTTTAAGATGGATTTGTGTATTTAATGCACATATAAGTTTCCTAACAAAACTTTTTATCAAATTCTCTTTCTCCTCTCCTTTTCTCTTTTTCAGAAACCTAAAAAAAATCATGCATTAACGTGTAAATCCGAATGTAAACACGTTTTACACTCGGGTTGAAAAAGGTGAAGTTGAATGAAATTGGATTATTCCGGCATCGGCAATGTCAATATTTATTTTGCCATGGAACACTGTAGGCAGAAATAGAGGATACGTAGCAGAATTAGAGGATATTGGATGAGCGCAATGATTAAATGATACTCACACGATAATGCACATACAACACGATAAATATTTAGTTTGCGAATCACGTCGATATTCTGTTGAAAACGTTTTTATTAACCGTATGATGGAATAATTGCAGTTAATCGAATGACATAACAAAAATCATTTTTCTGCACACAATAACTATTATTATATTTTTTACATGCATATAATAACAAGTTAAAAAAATGTTTAATTGAAATATAAAAGGAAAAGAATGAGATTCACACATCTTTTTCAAGTTTTTCCAAGTTTACCGACAAAAGACGAGCCGATAAGACCACTTATTGCAATCCTGCTGCGTTTCTTAGTCGGAGCAGATGAAATCAGAGACGCGATGCAAATCCTTCCGCCGCGCTTAATCCGCGAAAGCTGCATCGCTCCGCAATGAAATTGAGCGTTTGATCCCACGAGTTGGTTCCATGCACCGACGCTTCTTGATGAACATAAAATGTCACGTATTAAGTACAGCGCAAACAACGTGGGCAAACAACATCAGTCCTGTAATCTCGACAATCAAAGGGACCCGACGAATGATGTCCAGGATGGCTGCATCTCGTGGATGATCCTCACGAACGAAAGAACCTCTCGCTTCCTTCTCATAAATAAAGCACCTTGTAATCTCGCTCATATCAAGGCCGAGGACTCACACATCACGCATGTGAGGGGATGCACAGGCATTGAAATTATTTTTTTAGAAAATATTATTTCTATCGAGCGCAAAATGCATCTACCGAAGAGCGAAAATACGTTCGAACAAGAACGATAATTTCTCGGGAAGCACTACTTTGCGTTATCTTTAAAAATAATAGGAGCTTATAAATTTTTGAACGCGTGTCGTATTCTCGATCACATTTTGCTCTATGTATCAATTATAAATGTAGTTTCAAACATACATTTCTGATAACCTGGAAGATTTTTAAATCTTGTAACAATATGTATATTGTATACACTGAGAGAAAAGTATTTGATATTTGTGATACTACAATCGCACGGTAAAATAATTATGGTGTTTTATCGTTATAGCTATTAACATTTTATAGTTAATAACGTTATCACTATAATATTAATATAATTACATTTATAATTCCATGTACAAGAAAATATGTATAATTGGTACCGAAAATGACTATAATTATTATAATAACTATATTATATTTATACTAACATTATAGTAGTAACAATTATAAAAATGGAGCTGCTAACTATAATTATTTTACCATGCAATTATAGTCAGAAAGACTAACAGTTTTTTCTCAATATAAGTATATTTATACAAGTTTTCCTCGCTGTCTTATATATTTTACGCAACGCATTATTTATATTTATATTGCGTTTTATATCTTTCTTGCTATTATGTTTAAATGTTTAAATGAAAAAGAAGAGAAGATAAGCCGTTAAATATATCTGTTTGCTCACCAAAATAGCGTATAAATGTAAAGTGCCTTATAATATACATTTGTTTGTTAACAAATACACGCTCTCCCTGCCTGTAGCCTGTTAATAGCGACATAATATAGCCAAGGGATGTGCGTTCTCTCAGAGCGGACGGATATAGACGACCATAATCGTGGCCGGTAAATGCAAGAGAGGGACAGAGCCGCCTACGATTAAAATATTTAATGTCAAAAGGCACTTACGTGTCGTTTCGCGGAATGATATCACGTGCGAGGACAGCGAGGAGGACAAAGTATTAAAGTCCAGCTTAAGAGCAAGCCGGTGGTGAGTACGCGTGCGTTGCATAATACATTTCTATCGAAGATAGAGTTTAAGGTGGGGTTCACAGGGGGTTTCATCGACCGATCCCGAGCTACGGGGTGGAGCTTAAACCAGACGACAACGTCAGCACCTTCTTTTCGCGAGAGACCTTCGTTTCTCTTATCTATGCCCCATTTAAAAATGTTTCAATTACCGCTTGTTCGATGCTTACTGAAAGTACGTCTCGTATATTAGTCATCGGAGGCAAATTTTCCGATAAGAATCTGTCTTTGTTTTTTAAGAAAATTCCGTTTGCGAGCCTGTCTCTCTTTTATTTTCAATAACCACAGGATATCTAATCTAAATTGAAATCGTACCAAGGTAAATGTAATCTACATGCAAAAATAATCGAGATATGTGAAACTGTGTTATTTGCATCAAAGTGACCAAAGTTATTGATTTTTTTTATTCTGTGCATACAATTATGCCTTGACCTTCTTTATAAAATTTGCATTTTAGAGAAAAAGTGCGGAGAATTATTTTCATAAATAAGAGACCACCCTGTATATAATGGCTAGCTTTATCAAGGCCTTTGTTGATTGGAATCAGCGATACCAGAGCACTCTGCGCCCGATAAATCGCCGACACCGTATCGACTGTCGGAAGTCCGGAAAACCAGGAGACTGTTTCGAGTTTCGAGCCAGCAAATTTCGACCTCCGAGAAACCCTAATATTACCGTTGTTCCTTTCCGACAATTTACAATATTTTAATTAGTAATTACGTAATTGTCAACATCTTTCCGTTCAAAAAGCATATTGAGAAAAATATCTTGTTGAATTAATTAAAATTCTGGTTAAAAATGAACAAAATTTTCTAAATCTACCAGATTTTTAGTGATAACCGAAATTCTGATAATCATTTTTCTTAGTGCAGGATATTAAAAAAGAAATCAAACTATTATTAGTAATTATTAGTCCCCATCCAAATAGTGTGATCTAATACAGTAAAATAATCAGAATTAAAACGAAGAATATTAAGATTTCTAAGATAAAAGAAATCTACTAAAATAATAATAAATTCTCCTTTTAAAAGATTTTATAAACAAAAAATTGATTAAAAAATTGAACTCTCAGAATTCCTCGAATATCTCTGCATGAAAAAACTTTCTTAGCGGCTTAATTTCGAAATTTTCTACAACGATAAACCGCGATTGCATAAGACGCATGTCTCACGTCAATAAGGCTGACATCTTCCACGTTTAAATGCACACAAAGACGCGATGCAGAGAGAAAGGGAAAGAGAGGCGGACAGACAAACACGCATGCAACTCCCAAGTCTAATGATTATTTTATTATTGGACCAATTACAGAGTTATTGTTTCCACACGAGCGACGACGAGCCGGTTAAAGCTCTCAAGTCGCTTTATAACTTCCCGACTACCAGCCATGTTTTCAGAATGATTCAATTGCTGGCTGGATTTTTTGTCTCCAATTCCGCCTGCGGGATTACGGCGCTTTAACCCTTTAATCCCGACTGAATTCCTCATTGTCAGTCAGTCCCACTGTAATTGTTGAAAATTGGAATACTACTTTAGAGATAGAAATTTTTATTTTTTACGTATTGATTTTACGCTTGAGTAGAATTCCATAATGCAAGAAGTAAAATTTATATTTAGTTTTTGCATATA